GCCACTCATTTCTGGTCAGCCTGTATTTCTCGTGATAAAGAGTCTTCTGAGATGCTATAATGCATTTTCCTCCTTGTGAGTCACCCAGAGTCACCGTGCTCTGCTCCAAGCTGAGCCAGCCCCCACAGGGGAACTTGCCTTGTTGATGTGACCTGGTGAGCATCATGCTACCTGCTTTGTCTTTGTGCCACTTGCCTAATGCCTGTCCGAGGGGCATGGCAGGCAGCCCCTCACCCAAGTCAGCCTTGAAGGGCCTTCACTGAGCCCTGCAGTCCTGGGACTCAGTTCCCTTTCACGAGGATGAACAGGCTGTGGGGTGCCAGTCAGTTGTGCGCTGGGACTCAGGCAAAGGCAGGAAGATGGAAGAGGAAACCGAGAGGAGAAGTGCTGAGGTGGGCCTGGAGAGGCCGAGGCCGGGGCACAGCAGCATCCTTCCCATTTCTCCAGGGCCTCCTCCAGTCAGCATTACACCTGACATCCCTAGAGGTGTGGGATGGTCGCAGTCAGCACGGCCCAGGCGGGCGGTGGCAGGTGGCCCGGACAGAGGAAAGGGACATACAGGTCAGGAGCAGGAGTCAGAGAATCTCATGGAGAGAGAGGGCCAAATCCCGAGTCCTGGGGATGGTCAGATGCCATGGAGCCCACGTTTGCCTTGAGTGCGAGAGGCCAGCCCCTTTGCTGTGAAATCTCCCTTTCTGGTCACCACAGCCCTGCCCCTGTGCAATGAGCCCACTGCAGAGGCAAGGACCTGACGCCCAGGAAGGGCGCCTGGGAAGGGCAGACTTCAGGACTCAGGATGGGTGTCCAGGCTGGACCTCCACCTGCAGCCAGGGCTCGCCTAGTGCAAGGAGAGGGGGCAGACTGGAGGGGAGGGTTTGGGTCACTGAGAGAAGGAGCAGGAAGGGACCTTGGAAGGCAGAGAGCCCTGGATGCCAGGTTTGGGAGCCCCGGCCTCCCTCCTAGGGGGCAGACACTATGGGAGCTCCCTTCCCTGACTCCAGGGCCTGGTCCAGGGCAGAAGCTCAATAATGTGGGGAGGAGGAAGGGAAACTGGAAGGGGGAGAGATGAGGGAGGGGGAGGAATGGAGAGGGAGAGAAAGGAGGGGAAGCATAATCTGGTAGCAGTGGAGGTCACTAAAAGTTTTTGGGAGTGAAACCCATGGTCATAGCCTGAGACTGGACTGGAGAGAAATTAGAAGGAAATAAATGGAGAAGGTGAGAGGGAGGGAGGCAGAGAGCAATTACAAGACCATAACGCTTTGATAGGTGGCCGTAAGGGTCGCCTAAAGTCAGCCGTCGATGGGAGAACTGCGTCGCAGCACTCCCACCTCCCCTTCCCTTCCTGGGCAGGTTTTTAAGGCGGGACGGCTGAGTGACCCTGAGGATGCCGAGCCTGGGGCCTCATCAGAGCCCTTCAGCCCGCTCGCTCACTCAGGGTGTCCTTCCTCCGCTCGAGCCAAGCCAAGCCCTGGCCGGCAAGAACTTGTCGGGAGCCTGGGCCTAGTCAGCTGAATGAGGGAAGGAAGCAATGAGTGATGAATGAATGAATGAATGAATGAAAAGCTCATCTCTTACCCCGAGGCCCAGCAGCCAAAGGCCACACCTTCTCCCCAGGAGGAGGAGAAGCAGCAGCCCCTCCTGGCCCAGCTTGCCAGGCACTCAGTTCTTTGCTGCCTGTGGGCTGGAATCCTGCCGCCCTGGAGGTGTTCTCAGCAGCTTCCGGCATCCAGACTCGTGCAGAATCTCTCTCTCCTGGCGGCCGGCAGCTGACCTCAGCCCACTCCTCGCTGCCTAGAAGAGGACTCCAGGGGACCCTCATACCTTATTTGCCAAGTGAAGTTACATGGCAATTTTCTTCTTAAGATAAAGAAGAAAAGTTTGAGCCGGACTTAAGACAGGGCTGCTCACAAAGACCAAGTGTGCCTTTGCCCTGGTGCAGAAACGGAAGGCACGTCAGCATCCCGGGCGTCCTGCAGCCCCCGTGGGTCCTGCCCCCCAGCCTGGTCGTTCCTCTGCTGGCGGCTCAGGAGTGGTCCCGCTGCACTCGCTGCGACCCATCAAGTCGTAAAGTCTCTCCTCGGTGGTGGAGAAGGACAAGTCCTTTCTGAGCTTTGGGGGGACACACCCCAATGAGGCATGCAGGGGCTGAGAGCTGGCAAACCAGCAGAAGTTCGGGCGAGCTTGGCAAAAGCAGGATGTGTATCTGCTCCCGGGGCTGACTGCACGCCTCGCTCGCTGTTCACCAACATCTTTGCATTTCTTCTGAAAAACGCTTTTTCCACTTTTTCTCAAGTGGCTCTTTGTGAGCATCAAGAGCAATGCCCACTGTGCTCCTGAGGCTAACAGTTTAATAAAATGTGTGACACACAGATTACAGCCTTTAAAGCTACAACACGTCTCAGCCGTCATTTCGTCCTCTCTGCTCAGCATGGAGCGAAGGGAGGCCCCAGCTCCTAGTGTAGACACAGTTGCTGACCCCCAGAGCTGCTCCCGTAGTCTTTCTGTCTTTGTTTCATCTTCAGAACAGCAGCTTTGCCCTTGCGACTTTTTACAGAAATGGTCAGATGCACACAATTTCTTTTTTAAATAAAAGACGAGCAGGACTGGCCCTCGTTGCTCTGGGTGGGCACAGCTTTGCCTCAGGCCTGCACAGAGCTGGCATCTCTGCTTGGGGGAGGCCTGTGAGGGGACACGCTTCAGTGGGCATCGTCACTCCTGTGCTGCAGCTGCTGCAGCACTGAGAGACTCTGCCCTCCGAGGTCATTGAGTGACATGGGGGACATGCGACAGAATGTTAAGGGAAAGAAGCAGGGGACAACCCAACACAGGAGGAGACAGAGCTGCTTAAGGAGCATCTCGTGTGCTTGTGGATGCTCTGTGGCACGTACACCTCCCTGGGAAGAGGGATGCTGAGAAGGACGTACTCCAAACTAGGGGCAAGGCCCCTCACGGTGCTTTTCCTTTTTTCTTTCATTTTATGTGTTTTACAGTTTTTCTTCAATGAATGCATGAAACCTTCATACACTTACAAAGTTCTCTTACGGCAGCAGCCTTCCTTCCAAAGTCACCATTCTGGCCCCCCGTTGTGTGTCACAGCAGGGAAAGTGTTGGGCCCTGGAACCACACAGCCTCCTCCAATATCCACCCGTCCCCTGGAGTTTACTTCAAGTATTACCGTCCTCAACAGTCACTCACCACATTTTAGAAGCAGGGCATTGTGCTCAACAGTCTGGGGGATCACCTCCACATGCTGGTGATAATCAGCTTATCTGCACGTTACCACGTAGGGCTGGGGGAATTATGAACGCAGTGATGTGTGTGTAAGCACTGTGCATTTTACTGTTTGGAGTATTTCATTTTAAAAGCATTAAATGCCCATTCATCCAGAAAAAAAATTAAGCATAACCTTTGGGGCTAGCACTGTGTCCAAGCATACATGTTTTTCCCCTGCAAATTCTCCTGGCACCTGGGGCTCCAACAGGTGCCCTGCTGTAACTTCTAATCGGAGAAAGCCAGTTTCTTAAGGGCTGCCAACTGAATGCTCCACAAGGGCCAGCCAGCCAGCAGGAGGGTCTGCCGCCTGCTCTGTGCAACGTTCTGCTAAATTTACTCATTGAAGGGTACGCTTTAAAGTAATTATGCCCCATTTATGTTTACTATCGCATGCTGGGGCAAATAGTCATTATGCCAGAACGCAGACTGGTGGAGAAACCCATCCCCCAAGACTTCCTCTCAACAAGGGAAACTCGAGCTATGGGGCAGCGAATGAGCAAAACATTATGAAACGTGGGCACAAACACAGCTGGATTATTTCATTGGGCAGAGCTCTGCCTAATCAAGGGGGGAAATTTTTTAAAGAAAGCTGGTAAATGCAAAACACGATGCTTTCATTCTAGGAAGAATAATGAAGTTGTTTTCCTGCGAATGTTTCCACAATTTGGAGAAATTTGAAAAGTGGCACCCAACAAAGAGAATCGGCCACCTGGGACTGCTGATAAACCAGTAGAGTTTCCTTCTTCGAAAAACAGCACACCGCCCCTCCCCTGCCGGGAAGGCTCCAGGCACCTCTGGGCAGCTTGCTACCAGCATGCCAGCCCCATGGGCATTCCCTGCTGAAGGCAGCTACAGTCAGGCACGGGGTGAAATCGAGACATATCAGTCTAATAAAAAAGATAGATTCACTTGGGATATTCTTGCCAGACCCTTCTTAAAGGAAGTCTTTGCTGAAAAGATTTAAATTATTTTCCTTCTCTAAGTCTTTAAATGGCATTGTGAATAGCAGCCGTCCTCCCAATTCTGATGTGGGCAGAGAACACTCAAAATAGTAGATGGCAGGTGCTGGCCCCACTCAGAATTGCTCACCCCTATTTGTATAGATGCTGCCTTCCCATTTTTGCTCAGATCCTTTAAGTTTTATCACAGCCGTGACAAAATGATGACTCATACTTAAATGCAGTCATCATGTCATATGTGATATTAATACCTTGGTGACATTGCTGTAAGTGCCACTCCTTTAAGAGGAAAAGGTTCCTGAGAGCAGTCTGCCACCATCCCCAGGGACCACAAAGGGCAGCCCTGCAGAAGGCAATGCTCATTGTGCAGGAAGGCGCTGCCTGCATCCTGCAAGCTGTTCCGATAAGCAGCTGTCGGCAGGGAGGGGGCCGCGGGGAGAGTGGGGGAGGGGAGGGAGAGGGCGCTGTTATCAGGTTGGCTGGCCAGGCTTTAGTTGCCGCACTGATGTCTTATCCCAAGTATGCTCCTGCTTTGCAAGTTTAAATCTTCCTAAAAGGAGACAAACAGGAGCAGAGCTCAAGTTCTGCCCTAACACCGGCCAGCGTCCCCTCCCCCACCTCCACCGCCCTCCCAGGAGCTGTAATTCAGCCCGGACAGGAAGATGGAACAGGTGTCCTGGAGTTCCATGAGTTCCAGCAATACTCTGCAATCCTGCTAACCACCTCCCCCTCAGACAAGGATCCCCCACCCTCAAAAAAGAGAGTAAGTTTGTTTCAGTAAGTTTATTGTAAATTTCAGTGCTGCCGCAGCATAATCCTTTAGAAATGAAGCATCGCCTCGCCCGGATCCGTTTAGAGACAGCAGTGCAGACCGCTCAGTCCGCCAGAGCTCCGGTAACCGTGCAAGTCCAGGCCGCTTGACTCGCCTTTCCCTTCCTTCCCGCTGAGAGCGCACGCAGGCTGCTGAGTCACGCCTGCCGGGCCAGTCCGTCCTTCCCGGCCCCGCGGCCAACGTCCCGCCTCCGGCCCTCCTGGGCGAGCAGCAGCTCCCCACACTTGTAGAGTCCTCGGCTCGGGGCCAGCCTGCCCCTGCCGCCGCCAGGCCCCCTCCTCGGGAGGGAGCCGCACCTCCTCGCCGCTCTCCACGCGCGCCCCGCCTGCCAGTCTCCAACTCCGCACTCCCGCGCCCTCCGAGGGCGCATCCACAGAGCCAGCCGCGCGCTAGGCGCCCCGGGGCGTCACCACGTCGATCAGACCAAAGACCCCCGCAGGGCTGTCACTCGGGGAGAGTGATACTGGGCACCCAGTCGTTGACGCTGCGGCTCTCCTCGCAGAACAAGCTGAGCTTCTCCAAGGCAGGGTCCTTCCACGCGTCCTCATTGGGGTTCTGCGGGAAGAGCGAGGGTCAGCCTGGCTGGCTGCTAGCCGCTGGCGGGGGCAGGGGCGACACCGGGGAGGAGACGACACTCACCGAGATGAGGATGCAGTGCAGATCTCCCGGCGCGCCCGCCTCGTCGCCGGCGCCCACGATCGCCGCCAGCCGCTGCACGTCGCCCACGCGCACGATGTCGATGTGGTTCTCGCAGCAGAACGCCTGGATCAGCGTGAAGTGGATCTGCAGCGCGATGTCGCCTTCGTCCTCCTCGTCGGCGGCCAGGACGCAAAAGGTCACGTTGTCGGGGTCCCTGCGCGGGCAGGGAGAGGGTGGTGAGGTCGGGGCGGCGAGCTCGGGGGCCCCCCCGCCGCCTCCGGGGTTTCCCCACCGCTCCCCTGCCCCTGGTCGCCCCACCCAGACCGCGTCTACACTTACACGTTCAGGACTTTGGCGGACTCGTAGACGCCGGCGGTGAGGCAGCCCTGGCGCAGCGCCGATAGCAGCAGCTCGTGCAGCGCTTTCCCGGCGCCCTGCATCCTGCGGACGAGCCAGCGCGTGAGCGGAGACTGGCCAGAGGGCGCGGCAGGGTCCCAGCCTCAAGGACGCACCCCACGCGCCCCAGCCCCAGGGACGTACCCCAGGCGACCCAGCCCAGCCAGCACACCCGCGCCCGGCTCCCACCCAGTGGGTCTCCCACCCAGGCAGGGCCCGAAGGCTGCCGCCCGACCAGCAGCGGACAGGGCAGGGCCAGGTTCCCCGCACCCCGAGACGTCCGGCGCCCACCCACCTGGCCGTGCTTTCCGGAACTGTATCCTGGCCGCGAACTTCTTCCAGAGTCATGGTGCGGTCGGCAAGCAGCAAGTTATCCACAAGAGGAGCCGGTGGAGCGGACCCGAGAGAGGACGGCGAGATCTGCAGCCCAACCCGGCGCGCCCACCGCCAGCGAGTGCGCCCCGGTGCCGCCGCGCGCCCTTATATAGGCCGGGCCCGCGGCGCCGCCAGCTGGCGCGAGGCTGCGCGCCCATTGGCCGACGCCCGCTTTCTGATGCAAATGAGGCGGCGGCCCGCGGCTCGTGCCAGAAGGCCACGTGGGGAGGGGCGCGGGGGATGACAATGCCTCAAATCTGCCGCTTTTGTCGGGGTGTTACCAGGCAGACTGGTGCCTGCAGATTTCATCTCGCCTTTCTGTTTTTTTTAAGTCCTTAAAAGGAAAAAATTTAAAAAAGAAAAAAAACCTTGCTTGCTGATAGGACGCTGCGATTTGTGAAATGCACCTTTGAAGAATCTAAAGAATTTTCTTTTGCATTCCTTTTTGTTGGCACCTTTCTATTTTCTCTTTACGTTTAATTTGGAGTTTATGAGAATGTTGCTTTTAAGCCAGAATTTAAAGTAAGAACGTGCAGCACTGGCTTTAAGCCTGTAAAAAGCCGAAGCACAGGCCCCTCCAGCTGACACGCCCGCCCCCGAGCGCCGCGCGAGGCCTCCTGCGCACTCGACGCCTCGACCCCACCGTGCTGGAAGGTCGGAGCCAACCTCCCCGCCAGTGGCCGAGCGCTGCGGGGCGCCGGGCGCGCGAGCAGATTGCGGCCGGCGCACGCGGCTCGTTTGCATTTCTATGGAGGACGCACAATAGTGGAGGCCCGGCGTGTGGCAGTTTGCAGGAGGGACAATCGAGGCTTTCTCTTCATAGCGACACTGTCCACCTGCCGCCGGGTGGGGTGGGCAGGGCCCTGCCGCGCGTGAGGATCGGGGCCGCGTGCCGCTCCTGCGCCCCTCGGTGCGCGCCCCCTGCACCGGCCCCGCTGCCGTCGCGGCACGTTTGCATGTAATTCCGCCCCACCCGGTCCTCGCACGCGTGCAGAGCAGCCGCGCGAGGTGGAAAGAACATGGTGCTGCTGCACCGTCTACGCAGCCAGGTACACTCCGCCGAGACCCCGCGGCTACTGTCCCCGGGAGCTTGGGAACACCGCTCAGAATCGCTTTCCAGGGGCGCCATCTACAGGCCGGCCAGAAGATCCTGACCTCCCGCTGCCCCCTCACTTCCACTGGCCTCTACGGCTTGGCCTCCGGCCCTCTGGTCAACGAGCGGCCCCTGCAGGGTGCGCTGAGCCCCGTCGAAGCGGCGCATTAGTGACAGTCCGAATAAGGGCTGCAAAAACCACTCAGAGAGGGGGCAGGGGAGAAAGGAGACTCCGACCCAGTACTAAAGGAGAAGAGTCCATATTTCTTCTGCTATTTTGACATTTTTAATTACTTAAATATGCACATATAAAAAGCTTGTTTTCCAGCAATAGGGTAATGAAACTGGAAGAGATCTTGAAAGAGTTTAATAGAGGTTGCTGTGATGTGACCATCTTGGACCTACAAGTCGGCGCTTTCAGACGGTTCCCCACTGAGCGCATCCCTTTGGTGTCGGCATCTCTCTGCACTACAGTGAAACATGTGCTGGGGTGCGCTTCACTGGCCCCCCTTTTCCAAGTGAGGTCTTGGAGACTGGGCAGACCGTGGGACGGCCCCGGGGATTCGCCGGAAGCCCAGGCTCGGCTGCAGGACTGGGCGGTGATGGGTAAGAAAACAGCCGGGTGGATTTGGTCTTCCCATTCAGGCCTACTTCGGTGGGTGGGGGACATACACGTCTTTCTGGGCTCCTCCAAGGGAAGTGTTTGTTCTGCACTTGGAGGCAGACGCACTTGCCGGCACAGGGCCGAGCGCGGGAGCGCCGTCGTGCGCCCCCCGGTGGCGCGGGCCGAGGACGGCTGCGGCAGGCGGCGCCACCTGATTCCGAGATGCGGGTTTGCTCGCCTGACATCCCTGAAATCCAGGCGTCTTACAGCCGGGGGCGGGGGCGGCGTTTGTTGGTTACTGTTTCCTTTCTTGCTTGCTGGCTGGTATATAAAATGATGGTGTGCCTTGACTGGGTACGATATGTTTATTTTTAAGTGATTGAGACTTAGGTATTGCTCTTTTTTAAAGCATTAAACATTTCCTAAAACGTATTAGTTCCAGGTCTCCAGGAAACGTTGCAAATAATACTTAGTTGACGTCTTAGGGCTTTCTGCCCGCCCCCCATTTATGACGCTAGAAATCGGCCCTCAGCCCCTCCTCCCAGAAGAAGGCCACGGACAGGCCTGACTGCGCGGGTTGGGGGGGGGGGGGGCGGGCAGGGCGCGGCGATCCCAGTTGGCACCAGGCCACTCTGAAGGAAGAGGGCTGATTGAAAGCCCCCTGGGGCGATTCTACTTGCCGCCGTTTTTGAGGTATTCAATTTCAGGAAAACCACCTTTCTGACATAGGATATGGCTTCACATGGGTTTATTAGGTCAGTGTGAATGGCCCCAAAGCCCTCACCTCAATTTGGAAAGAAACATTTTGTATGGAGGCAAAGCTGGCCCTCCACCAAACCACCCCACGGCCTTGCAGTTGAGACAAATGCAGAGGCTCCTGGCTCTGGGACCGCCGGTCTCCCATGTGGGGTCAGACTACCCCGGGGGCGTGGGCTGTGCCGGAACCCCGTCCTGGGTTACCTTTAGATACCCTCCTGGCCTGTCCCAAGGTGGAAGAAAGGCGGTTGACCATTGCAGATGCCCCACCTGCCCCCACTGTAGGGGGTCCAGAGGGCGTTCAGCCAGGGTCTCGGCCTGCAGGAGCCCCAAGTCCTCGGAGGCTGTGATGTCACCCAAGTGCCCTGTGGCTGCACCCCGTAAACCTTCCCCTCAACCTTAACAATGCAGGTGATGGCGACTTCATTAAAGGGACATCCTCAGAGATGCTCTGCTTTAAAAACCCTTTGGAAATGTTGAGGGCTTAATTATTGTTATTAACACATTCTTGGAAACGCACGTCTCAGTCACTCTCAGGGCCTCACTAAAATGTTGGCGCGTCAGCACTGATTTGGGGGTGGAAAGAAAAGGGCTTTGAGTAAGCAGTAAACTTAATGAGACAGACTCCGTTGCAATTTCTCAAACTGTTTCCTTTCAGAGCAGGTACACACGACGGGTAACTAGCAGGTTCATTCCCCGTGTGAGGACGGCCACCAGAGGCTGCAGGGCGGGCCCGCAGCACAGAGTCCCTGCTGCCTGCAGGCCGAGTCCTTCGCTATGTGGACATCTCAGGAGAAGTCAAAGCCACTGCCACCTTTCCAATGGGCAGCTTTCACGTCTCCCCAAAAATCTGGATTTCCAGCTTCTCTTGGAAAGTGGGAAGATTTGGCCACTGTGTGCCTGTGGTCTCCCCCTCACCACGCTAACCCTCAGTGAGGGGGCACCAGGACCCCCAGACTGGGCCCTGCTCTCCGGTTCACCGCAGTCCCTGCCAGGCCCATTTGAGCCACTGAACCCAGTGTCTTCCTTCCTTTAGGTCACCTGCCTGTCCCCTGTGGCCCTTTGCATTTGCAATCTTTGAAAAGAAACTGAAGTTTGAAAAGCAAAATAAAGGGGCCAGGCTCTTAAAAGATGAACATCCTTGGGGCAAGCCTCCTTGGGGTCCCCGGTTCTGCAGGGCCAGCACAGCATCTCCTCGTCGGCACAGGGCCCTTGGGGCAGTCTGGGTCGCCCCTGTGCTAACAGTCCCCGCATGGCTCACTCCCCCGCCCCACCCCCACCCCATCAGCCCCTTCTCCAGGCGGGATCGGTCTCCTTGGGTTTCAAGAGGAGTTTTCCAAAAGCCTTGTGGCTGGTGGGGTGGACAGCAATGAGTCGGTGACAATACTACATTAACTCAAACAAGAAACCGAAACACACACCTGTTACTTAAAACTAGCAGCATCCTCTCTGATATGTCGAATGTGGGCCAGCAGCCATGGGCCACAGTAGGATGCCCCCCACCCATTGCCACGCCCAGGGAGTTGTGCAGGCACACACACACACACACCCAGGTGAGATGTGAGGTCTGTAGATGGGGAGGCTTCGGACAGGAAACAGGAAACACAGAAAGGGAAAGCCCCACCGGCCGGACGTCTGTGGTCCGTCGCGGCAGGGGGCTTTCTGGAAGGAGCAGTTATTCCCCGGAGAGCAATTAGATAGCATGTGAGAGGGTCCCCTCAGCTCAGTGAAATCCCTGAAACGGATGGGGCGTCAGCAGAGGACCTCCACGCACTTGGTACTTTCTGTATCCTGAGTAAGAAATGATTTGTGACCCGCGTCACAGCCATGGCCAGTGACACAGCAGCTCTCGCTGTAGCTGGAAACCCGAGAAGCTGCAGAAGTGGTGCCCCCTCCCTGGCCACCTGCCTGGGTCTCCTGAGCCTCGGGTTCCCCCACACAGCGGAGAGCTGCCCTTTGCCCTTCCCGCAGCCCACGGGGAGTTTCTGAAGGTCACGCCTGGTCACCATTCGGCCCACATTCAGGTTTCTTTTGGTGGCAGTGTTCTGAAACCACTGAAAATCCAGCTCTGACTTGTTTGTTTGTGTGGGTGGGAGTGGGCGGCATGCACTTTCCATGTCACCCTAGATGAGCCCCAAATGTCACCTTGGGCCTGCTGGCACAGGTGGCCCTGCCTGGCCCTGCAGGCACTCGAGTCTGGGGCGAACTGTCTTTTCTAAGAGCACACAGGAAGTGCGGCTACTGTGGTCGCCGTCCCCAAGACGTGAACACACAGCATATGATACGTGAACAGAATCGCAGACCTTCTGGACTGAATGCCCCCCCACCCCATGCTCAGAAAGATATTGGAAGTGCGTGGACGCGCCCGGGAAAGGCAGCAGGTTCTCGGAGCTGCGGTTAGCAGGCAGGGCTCGAAGTGCCGAGCTTTTGCTGCTTACTGAACTCTGACCTGTAGCAAAAAGTGTGAGTGCACGGCAGAAAGAAAGTGTCAGGGAGAAAGAGTGCAGGCTGTCGTCCCATTAAATCTACTCGCCTTAAGTTCTCCTAAGGAGGCGCATCCAGAAATGCATATTGCAAGGAAACGTTTATTGCCATGGCTCTTCTAATAGCGAAAATCTGAAACCACGAGAGGGACGAGCGCTAATCATGGCACAGCCATAAAGCAAACATTAAGCAGCCATGAAAAATGTTTGGAAGAATATTTCATGGTAAAGCCTCACGATGCAATGTGAAAAAGCGAGGAGCAAATGTATGTGTCTCTGATCGTGCCAGAGCGTTTACAGCACATGACCATCAGAAAGGACGGCTGTGTCTTGAAGTCACAGGACCTAATCCATGATTTTTTATTTTCTTCACTATACTTTTAAACATTCTGCATATCAATTTTATACAATCCAAATTCAGACTTCCCGTGTGTAGTAAGCTCAGCGTGGACATCGTTGAGCGGACTCCTGCTTCAGTGTTGAGCCGGGCGCCCTCTGACCAGATGGCAACGGAGCAAGAAGCCGGACGCCCGTGGGCCATGCTTCCACGAGAGGCCGAGCGCGGTCTCTGACTCTGAGCCATCATGCTGCTGTGAGCCAGCCTGTCCCGGCCTTGGGGACACGGTCATGCTGTGCCCCGAGCTCAGCTCTGGACCGACTGGGATGGGGTCTCAGGTGACACACCAGAGGCACGAGGGGTCAGTGGCCACATGCCCGGGGACGCGCCCTTTGATAGACGCGCAGTCCACCAGGATGCTCATTTTAGCAAGTAGCAGCGGATAAAGTTATCTTTTACTCCCTTTTTGGCAAAAATATTTATTTTCCAGAAATGAATTACAGCAATAAATTATGAGAATTGTTTCCATTGTTGACAAAATATATCAGGAATTCTAAAATTCAAAATATTTACATGTACTCAATCTGTTTTTGAGACTCTTGTAGGTGCAACTCAATTTTCCGTGTTGAATTTCACCCATTTGGAAGAACAAGGAGCTCCTGAATACACTATTATTAGTGAAATTGGAATTATGATTTTATTTACCAGACTTTTAGAGGGCTCGCTCTGAGCCCTGTTCTATTCCGAGCACTTTAAAAACATCACTTAATCCTCATACTCACCTGTTAGGTAGCTACTGTTGTCACATGAGGAAACTTTGGCACAGAGAAGTTAAGCAACTTCCCAGAGGTCACACAGCCAGGAAGTGACAAAGCTGGGATTTGAACCCAGACTGCCTGGCTCTGGAGCTCGCTCATCACCAAGAGGAGTGAGATGAACTTCTCTGTAAAACCTTTTTTAGAGCTTTTGGGACAAACCATTTCGTCCACGAAGGATAAGGAGATCATCTACGTGAAAAGAAGATTTCAAAAAAGTGTTTGGCTCTCCTTGGGAGCCCCTGCCTGATGGTGCCTGTCCCGGGGATCGTGATTGCGGGGTGCCATCTTGTGGTCAAAGAGGATATAGCTTCCAGCTCTGGAAAGCAGTCTCTTCACAGCTGGATCCACATCCTTCCGTGCCCCGAGTCCCGACCCCGTGTTTCCAGGGAGCCCGCAGCACAGTCACAGGCGGCCGTCAATGCCCAGGAGCAGCCGCCCTGGCAGCAATGAGCTCCCACCGCCCTGCCATCAACGGGCAGCCCTGAGAAGCCAGGCGGGGGCAAGTGTCTTCCTTCTTCAGGGCTTGCTACCCACGGAGACAGGCAGTGCGAAGTGCCAACAACGGGGAGAACAGAACCACCACCCGGGCGTCCGTGCCAGGGGGACGCTCCTGCCCAATCTACAGACTAGTTTCAGGAGACCAACGACGTGCCCAAGGTCACACAGCTAATGACAGAGCTGGGATTCAGCAGCCTCTGGCAGACCTCACATAGAGCTCATGACCTGGGCCACCCGAGGGTGGGACCTGGGCCGACTGCTGAGCTGCGGGAGACACAGCCCCTGCAGCGCCCAGCGAGCGCAGGCAGCCCCAGCGGCTTGCCTGCCTACCTTCCTTCCCAGTTAGGAATGCCCTGGGCCCCCGCACGCCCTCTGCTCTTCTGACCTCCTCACATCAGACACACAATGGGAGGCAGATGGATTATTTTTTCTTACAGACTCACAGGCATATTTAAACTTGAAGGGACCTACAGGGCAGCTTTCTCCAAAATACTGCCCACGTTGGACACAGACAGTGCTCCACAAGGCGTCCGTCCCAGGCGAGGGTGGCTCCGCCAGCGGGTGCGCCCGATTCCTCCACCTCCATCCGTGATCGCACTCTCGGTGGCAATAGCAGTGACAGCCCCACATCTCTGCCTGACGCAGCGCCACCCGATGGACCCACAGGCCCCTGCTGCTCAGGGTGTCCCTGGACCTCAGCATCGGCTTCCCTGGGAGTTTGTCAGAAATGCCGAGCCTCAGGCCCTGCCCCGGCCCTACGGACCGAGAGTCCGCATGTTAACAAGGTCAGGGTGGTGCTCGTGTGCCTGCGGGTGTGTAATGCGCTGCGAGAGAACCCGGCCCAGAGGACAGCAGACTCAAGCCAGGCCAAGAGGCGTGGGCGGCACAGGTGGGGCAGGGGCACATCACAGGGGACCGTGTCGGGGGCAGCACAGCCCTGGCTGAGGCCCGAAGGGTGAACTGCCAGCCAGGGGCCGTGCGAGGCTCTGTTCTGGACCATCACAGGTTTGGGATGCTTGGGGCACCTGGGGGTCACCGCTGGGCAGTGGCAGATGTGGGACATCTGGACTGGATACATAACCTCGAGACTCATCAAGGCTGTGGCCATTTCCTAAATGACCTCTGAATCTGAGAGGGCGGGGTGCAGGCTGCTAGTCCCCTCTCCCCTTGTCGCACAGAATAGGGCTTCACCTTCGCACGGGTCTCAGGTGTCCTGGTGGACGCTGCTCTCCCACGCCCCCTGGTCCCCAGTCCCAGCTCCACCCGGGCAGCGTGGACTGGAGCTTCTTTCCACCAACGTCAGTCTCTCCCTCCCTGCGGCTGTGGGCTGACCCACGCCAGCGGGGAGAGGGCAGCCACGGGGACGGTGCCGGCCTCCGCTGACCGGGTGGGGCCGAGCGCCCTGCTGGCCTGTCCTAGTGGAGCGGGTGGAAGCTTCTGTCTTCACTCCCTGGCTTTCGGAGGTCTTTTAAAATTTTTAATTGTGACGAAACTCCCAACATAGGACGGTTGCAGGACCAGCAGAGAAAGCATTCCTGCGCACCGTTCCCCGGCCCCCGTCCACTGAACTCTTATCGTCTTCTCGCTTCCTCACACCCATGCGTGTTTCTCTGAACCATTTGACAGTAACTCGAGTGTGCTGCCTCTTGACCACGATATACTGCAGCGTCTAGTTCCCAGAAACAGGATATTCTCCTCAATCCATAAATCACAGTAAAATCAAGTCAGGAAACTAACATTGGTAGAGGCGCAGCTACCATCTGACCTACAGACCATGGCGCGATTTTGTCAACTGTCCCCGTGACGACCTTCGCAGTGAGGAAGCCCAGGGTCGTGGCGCATCCGGCCTTCATCTTCCATCTCCTTCAACCTGAAGTGATTCCTGAGCCTGTTTGTGACGCGGGCGCTTTTTGACACAGCGTCCAAGAGGTTGGGCCCCTCGTCTTGTAGGCTCTCCCAGGACTTGGGTTTGTCCGGTGTTTCCTCACAACTGGATTCAG